CAGCTCGCCTCTGGGGTAATGCTCTGAGAACCACGTTTACAGTGATCCTGGGAGCATCCGTTCTCCTGGAGAGCAGTGAGATGCAGACAGAGCCTGCCCACCATGCTCCTGTCTTAAGCGGGCCCTGGAAACCTGGGTCACATTTGTCAATCCGGACAAGCAAGAAAGGGCTTTCCAGGCAGAAGGATCTGCCTGTGCAAAGGCTCAGAGTTATAAAGGTGCTGCGGGGAGAGTGGAAAAGACAGATGGTAGGCAGGTTATGAAGACTCGTGAGTGACATATGGAAGAGTCTGTTCTGTGAGGAACAGCGATCCCAAGAAGGTGTTAATCGGATGCAGGATTTAGCAGGTCCCAGCCTTGATCCTCTGACTGTGGCTGCCATGTGGGGCATGCAGGAGACCGAGGGCAGGGAGAGCTGGGAAGGCTCATTGCCATCTCTGGGATGCTCAGGTGCTTGCATTGCTATCTGACTGGAAGTGGACGGGAGGGGAGAGGTTGGTATTGGGGATCCCATGGTTTCCAATTTGGGCCTGAATGGAGAGGACATCACGACCTAATTTAGTGAATGAAAGAGGAGGAGCGAGTGGACGAGTGGAGAGAAAGAAGGGGACAGGCCAGGTGAGGAGATGCTGTCCAGGTGAGTCGAAGTCTGGCTGGAGACAGAGACCGAGTCGCCGGTACCCAGGTGCAGCCAGGTGGTGGGGAGACTGCCTCCCCACCAGGGGGTGGCCAGGAAAATGAAGTCAGGAGGCTCTGCAGAACAGATGCAAAGTTTGGGGCAAAACCAAAATGATTCTGTAAAATGTGTACTCTTTCGAATGCAAGTTTTCATGTTTGAAAGTCCCTTAAAAGGGACCCCACCCCCACCACCCGTCTGTGCGAAGCTGCCACAGACCTGCCACGACCCGCCTCCCTGGTGACTCACTCTGTCTGTGTTCAAGTGGTGGCAGCCCTGCTCCTTGTCTGTGATTCCTTCACCCCCCCCCCCAGTGTTCTGGATTTGATGCCACGCTGATGTCAGGGATTACAGTTCATCAGCGTTCGGTGAGAGCGGGTCTCTAGCCAAGGGTTAGTTTCTGTTCTGTTTTTCTCCAACTTCCTAGTCCCCCTCCACCCACCCCCAAGCTCTGGTGGCCAAGGCTGGAAGGCTGGGCCTTGGCCTTGCTTCTCAGTAACCATAGCAACTCACCTAGGCCGCCCACAGTTGGCCCAGCCCAGCCCAGCCAGCTCAGCCTCCTTCGGGTCCTTCCTGCCCAGCCTTCTCTCCTTGGGCCTCTGCTCTTGGCTGTGCGACCCACCCCGGGGTGGGGTTTGCCCCCTTTCCTCCACAGCCCCTCACTCTCTGCTCTACTAGGCAGGCTTTCCTGGCCGTACATTCTGAGCGCTGGGAATACAGCAGTGGAGAAGGCAGGCCATGGAGGGGAAATCAAACAGTCCAGCCCTCATAGAATTTATGGTTTAGGAGAGATGTCAGACCCAGAGTACTGTCAGGAAGCCAAAAATAATCCGAATAAGCAAAGTAATAGATAAGCATTTAAAATGGAATCAGTGCTTGGGAGAAAAAACAAGGAAGGGGAGCTAGGGTGTTATGGGTTTGGTTTTATTTTGGGGGCAGTAATTAGGTTTTATTCATTTATTTACTTATTTAAATTTTCTTTTTAATGGAAGGACTGGGGATTGCACCCAGGACCTCATGCATGCTAAGCACGCGCTCTAGCACTGAGCTGCACCCTTGCCTTGATGTATCATCTTGATGCGTGGCCTGGCTGGTTGGCAGTCAGTTTGGTTAGTGATGAGCTGTTCCTTTCACTTTTACACACCTGTTTTGGGAACCGTTTATTTGTAGCACAATCTGTCTGTAAAATTCAGGGTCGATCCGTGAGTGGTTCCCAAACCTGATTCCGTAACACAATCACTTTGGGTAGTTTTCAGAAATAGGGCTTCTTGCCTCAGCCGTGGACAGTCTGATTTGGCAAGTCTGGGCTACAGCTTGGGAATCTGTGTTGTGAGGGTTACAAACCACTGACCCAGATGATGTCCATGGGTCCTTCTTCTTCGCAACTGATAACCCCGAACCTGCCCAGCATCAGGGCCATTTCCCAGGCTGGCCTCCCCCATCCACCTGGAGCTGAGAGACAGGACTCCCAGCCAACACACCTGTGGGAGCCCAGGCCTCCTTTCCAGGATGCCCCTGTGCATGTGTCTTCCCTGCGTTTCATGACAGAGCCTCCTGGATGGGGAAACAAGCTCCTTGCCCTGAAGAACCACCTCCTCACAAGGCACGATGACCCCAGAACACAGACGTCCCTGTCTCTGCTCCCCCCTCCGCAGGGAGCAAGCACCCCATAACCCTGGCCCCTCCACAGGTCGCACCTTTGTTTGCTGGGGAGTCGGAAGGGACCCTTGGTTGCTGAGACGTTTGAAGGCTGCTGAGTGCCAGGTGCCAGGGATCAGGATGCAGAGATGAGAAGGCATCCAGCACCTGAGGAATCTACTATCTAGTGAGGGAGACAAATGATTATAACACCACTCGGACCCGAGCACAGGTCTCCCCTAAACACAAACTCAGCCTAGGTCAGGAAGGCTTCCAGAAGGGTCTTAGAATTTGGCCAAGTGAAAGGAATGGGGCAGAGCCAATGAAAAGTGGAAGCTTGCCAGGCGGAGAGTTTCTGGTTGAGCAAGAAATAGTAATGCTAATAATAACAGCTGACATTTGTTGACTGCTTGCTACATACTAGACTCTAAGTATTTACTCCTTGATAACTGTCGTGGTAGGAAAAACAGTGCTCCCCCATGGCCACACCCTCGGAGCTGGAGTGTGTGAATCTGTTACCTTAAAGGCAGACGAGACTTTGCAGGTGTGATTAAGAACCTTGAGGTGGGGGGATTCTCGTGGATTATTTGAGGGGCCCCAGGTAATCACTGGTGTCTTTATAAGAGGAGGGCAGGAGGGTCGGACGGACTGAAGGTGCCACTCTGATGGTTTTGCAGGTGGAAGAGGGCCTCAAGGAAGGAGCGGAGGCACCTCTGGAAGCTGGAAGAGGCCAGGTAATGGTCTCCCCAGAGCATCTACCAGCATCTCTAATGATGCCATGGACTTCTAAACTCCAGCGCTGTCGGGGTGGGGGTGTAGTTCAGAGGAAGAGAATGTTGCTTGGCATGCACAAGGTCCCGGGTTCAATCCCCAGTGCCTCTGTTGGGGGGGGGTAATAGGGCATAATTCACAATAGCAACAAACTCCAGCACTATAAAATTATACACTGGCGTTGCTTTAAGCCATAGTTGGTGGTAATTCATTGTAGCAGCAACAGGGAACAAATACAACTATGCTCCTCCCATCCTGCAGCCAAGAGGTCAAGTAACGCACCCAAAATTGTAGAGCAAGTCATCTGTCCAGGATTCAGAAGGTAACCGTCCGGCCCCAGGCCCTGCCGCACTTGCCCACGCACACTCCTCTCCTCCCAGATGCAGGCTAGGAAACATCAGGGCTGCAGGAGGTTGTCAGAGAGACGGAGATGGGGAGATTGCACAGCTGAGCTGGCAGGAGCCCGGATCCCAGAGGCCCTCCTGGGCCAACTGGAGAGGGTGGCTCCCTGCCCCCTACTTGCCTGTGCTCCTTTTTGGGGTTCCACTCAAGGCCGTGCCAGACTACGGGCACCCGCTGAGAGCAGAGGTCAGCTCCTTGGTCCCTGCACCCCCTGCCCTACCTGAGGCCAGGTGCACACTGAGCTGTTTGCTGATACAAAACTCTACCTGGTCTTCACTATCAGATGGTTTTTAAACACTTCCCCAGTTGGATGGTTAAGTAGATACTCTGGTTAAGCACAGCATCCTTATGCATTTTGAAATCTCTGTCTTCAAACATCTGTTCCAATCTTATAAATCCTTTATTCATTCTAACTCTTTCTGTCTCTAATATAAAGCATCCCCCATCCCTTACTCTTTGACTGAAATAGGTGGTCAGAGGAATTTTGAGGCAGTGTTATGGTTGTTTTTTTAATATTAAACACAATAAGCATTACCTGAACCCACATTTCCAGAGATGTCTGCTTAATTGATATTCCAAGTCTTTTACAGGCTGTGCTTAGGTTTTTAGAGCAGCAATAGCTAACATTTGATTAGCATTTTGTAGCTGCCTAAAAGCATCCTCGTCCTCCCATCAGCTTGATCTTTTCAGAAATGCTCAGGGGCAGGCAAGTTCATCCTTGTTCTGAAATGAGGCAACTAAGGCTTGAAGAGGTTGAATGTGGCCAAGTCACACGGCTGAGCCAGGTGGAGACTAGGGGATTCCACACTTCCTCTGTTGCATTATTTGCCCCTAAAGGGGAAAAAAATGACCCAGAACATCCATACAAGGAAATCGGGTACCAGATTCCAGGTCATGTTTCCTTCCCAAGTACAGAAGTAATATGCCTGGAGGGTGGGAGGGTGCAGCTCAGTGGTAGAGCGCATGAGGTCCTGGGTTCAATCCCCAGCACCTCCACTAAAAATAAATAAATAAACCTAATTACCTCCCTGCACCAAAAAAAAAAAAAAGAAAGAAAAGAAAAAAAGAAACAGTCCTCTAGATGGAGGTGAAAGAAAAGGTCCCTGGCTCTTATCTGGGCTGGATAATGGTGCCAGATTCTCAGCCGTTAATAGGCTGGTTAAAGGAATTTGAGTTACCTCTCTGCTCCAGCCTTCGACTTCCTCAGGGTGGTACCCAGAATTAGCACCAGAGGTCTCCAGATCCCGGTCTGCACCAGGAGCCCTGTGTAGGCTGAATACAGGATGCCCTGCTTTCGTATACTGCTCACTTGCAAGTGCACATGAACATCTTTGGGATCAGTAAGATAAAATGAGTTTAAGTGCATTACTGAGTTCTTTAGATCACTTTGTGTCTTCTGAGTCAATAGATATTGAAAGTATGGCCCTAAGGGAAGCTGTATTTTTTAAAAATTATTTTATTTTTCTTTTTGGGGAGAGGTAATTAGGTTTATTTATTTATTATTTATTTTTAATGGAGGTGCTGGGGATTGAACCCAGGACCTCATGCATTGTAAGCATGCACTCTACCACTGAGCTCCATCCTTCCCCACCACATTGTCATTATTTTAGAAGGGACTTTTATGCTTTAAAACCATTGGAACCATGGTCTGCAAAATTCCCTTCATTGCTAGTACTCTGTGGTTCATTCACAATGTCAAGTGAGTGAATTTTCTGAATGTACCGTAAATGTACTTGCTGCTGACTTTCTCCATGTTGCTATGCAAGGAGACTAAGCAGCCTTATTTCCTCCCACAGGACATTGAGGGGAGACTTCCCAGGGGAGGGTGAGACTGACTGTTGATCCCTCACCCTCCCCGGCAGAGCAGGGGACTGATTAGTGACTCGTGGGACTAACCGTGCCATCATATAGCACCCACCCTCAGCCGTCTCTGGTTCTGGGCCTCCTCCCACCCCAGGTGAGACTTGGCTTGGACCAGAGCTTCATTTTATCTGCTTCTCAGATTTGGATACGGTCTTTGCATCCTTGTATGTGAACTGGACCACATAGACATTTTTCTTACCCTTTATAGCTTTGTCTTGGTGAGACTCTTCCCCTCTCAGGTGCCTGTTCAAAATAGCTAGTCGACTTCTGGTTAAAAAGAGGACTGGCCAGAGCCAGCCTCCCTGGCAGACTGTCCTGCTCAGAGATGGCTCAGAGATTTCCCACCATGGTACAGCCATACAGTGCAGGAGGAGTATTTTTTCCCGGGGGCTTCACAGAGGGGAGCTGGCACAGGGCGGATCAACTAAGAAGCCACGACCACAGATCCCGTGTTCATGGCTTCTTTGGCTGCCAGGAAGAGGTAGGATTTGCTTGCTTCCAGTCACAGCCCTGCCGATCGCCACTGCCACCTCTACTACATAGGGACAATTCACCACCAGCAACTACTGTGCCAGGATCCTCAGCCGGCTGTGGACACGTTGAAGAAAAACTCATGTCAGACACTGCATCCTCTTTCTTGGAAAATGTCCAGATTATTTTCAGGCTTGTTTAATGTGTCCTTTTTTTTTTTTCCACTGCTGCTAACATAGTCTCTCCACACATAGTTCGCTTGAGCAACACAACTCATTCCATCTGCAAAGTTTGAATAACCACCTCAGAGAGAGCCCGGTACTGCATGTGGTGAAGGGTCAGCAATGCGGGTGATGGGTCAGCTCTTCCTTCCTCTTTTTTTTTTTTTATTTTTCAGTTTTATTAGGTAGAACTGTTACAATTTGACTGTATATATACAATATTTTGCATGTAAATACATATATACAATATACCGCACATATTTTTAGTTTACATATATGTACCGATCATTGTTTCTAAGAACAGCTTATACCTTTAGCTTTTTAAACTTACATAGTTATCAAATGAATAAAGCCAATCACAAAATAAGAATTAACAGAATGCGGTAATCCAATCATTAAGGACAGTCAGATGTGCTGGCTCATATTCAAGAGATCAGTCATCTATGTTATAAACAATAGGTAGTTCACTTGTGTCCCTTTTTTTTATTTTCCACATATAAGTGATATCAAATGGGATCTTCCTTCCTCTTTTAAAGACACCTGATTTGCATAGTCATTTGGTCTTATAAATTCTTCTGTAGAATGAAAACTGCATTACTATTTGTTTTTTCTTTAATTACTGAAGTATAGTTGATTGACAATGCTGTGTTAGTTTCTGGTGTACAGTATAGTGATTCAGTTATGCGTTTATATATATTCTTTTTCAGATTCTTTTTCACTATAGGTTATTACAAGATATTGAATATAGTTCCCTGTGCTGTACAGTAGGACCCGGTTGTTTATCTATTTTATATATAGCAGTGTAGAGCTGTAAATCCCAATTCATTGCTGTGTTTTTCAAGATCAAGCCATTAAGTTGTTATCTAATCTCAAAACAATCTAATTAGACAATCTCTAATATTCTATCAGTTTCATTACCACCTGTTCAAGGCATTTACTTGATTCTCATCTCTTGGGGGCAAGAAGATGACAGACAGTCACAAAGGGTAAGACTAAAACACAGAAACTGGCAATATGCTCAGAGTAGTACAAAAAATCAAAAACAGAAGGATTAGAGTGGGCAGACCCGTCATCTCCCCTTCCTGCCTGGAAAACACTCTTTTTTCTGATTGTTTAAGCGTCCTCCCCAGAACAGGCACCAGGAGCTTCCTAACGACTTCCCATGAAGGGAGATTCTCTAACGAGGTTCTGCAAGCTTGTTCGGCAGCCAGTGTTCACACAAAGGTGAAAAGCTATGAGCTCAGCCCCGCCCCTGCGCCCAGCAACACAGCCCGCTGGCCCACTGCCCCACTGCCTGCGGACAGTTCTCTGTGCCGTCTCAGGGTTTATTTTCAGTTCTTCGGTGACATATACACAGAATGATGTTTTCTTGTCAGTAAAGCGCTTACTTTTTGTTAGGCAAGAATTAATCCATACGTCACCATTCTTAGAAGAATTAGGAAAAGTAAATTACATCGGTTGTGTAAACAGCCTTAAGTCAGAAGCCGCTAGGAGCCCAGCAGCGCCGCCTCCTGGGAGCATGAGCATCTGTAACCCCAGGAGGGCTGGTCAATGGAGGCTTCCGGTGGACAGAGCAGTGGGTACCCAACTCCAGCCACATTTCAGAGTTCCTCCCCCAGACGACGTGCCCCTCGAGTCCACAGGCCACACTTCCTAAGAGGCTCTGAGCTACACCCCCTCACACACAGGGATCCAGGGGGCCATCACACAGACCTCACCCTGGTCCTGGGGGCAACTTCACTCTGCTCCAGGTGGGCTAGCTTTCCTCCCTGAGGACGTTAACACATGGAAGGCTTGCAGTGAAAATTCAAGGGGACACTGGATCCCAGGGTTGTGCAAATGTGGTGTCACATTTGCACAGTCCTGACATGGTAGTGCCTCCTTAATTTCCTAACTCCAGGTGCCTCACCTGTCTCTGCTAGTCCAGGACCTGCCCCGAAGCTTTGAAAAGGGAGGGAAGGTCCAAAAAATGAAAAGACAATACACAGACTGGGAGAAAATATTTGCAAAATACATCTAATAAAGGACTGGTATCCAAAATGTATAAAAAAAAACTCTTAAAATTCAACAATAAGAAAACAAACCAACCCTATTAAAAATGGGCAAGAGTTCTGCATGGGCACCTCACCAAAAGAAAGACACAGGGTATCTTTAAATAAGCATGTGAAAAGGTGCTCCACATTGTGTGTCATCAGGGAAATGCAAATCAAAACAAGGAGCTAATCACTACACACCGATTAAAATGGCCAAAATCCAAAACACTGAAAACACCAAATGCTGGTGAGGGTGTGAAGTGACAGGAAGTCTCATCGTTGTTGGTGGGAACACAAAATAGAGCGGACAATTTGGAAGACAGTGCAGCAGTTTCTAACCAAACTAAACATACTCTTACCACACGACCTAGCAGTTGTCCTCCTTGGTGTTTACCCAGAGAAGCTGAAAAGATGTATCCACACAACCTGCACACGGATATTTGGAGCAGCTTTACTTATAACCTCTAAAACTTGGAAGCAACCAAGATGTCCTTCAGTAGGTGAAGGGATAAACTTTGGTACATCTGTAAAATGGTATATTATTCAGCACTGAAAAGAAATTAGCTACCAAGCCATGAAAAGACATGGAGGAATCTTCAGTGCACTGTAGTAAGTGAAAGAAGCCAATCTGAAAGGTCATATACTGCAAGATTCCAACTACATTGCATTCTGAAAAAGGCACAGCTAAAAATAGATTAAAAGGTAAGTGGTTGAGTTAGAATGGCCATCCTTAAAAAGTCCACAAATGATAAATGCTAGAGAGGATGTGGAGAAAAGGGAACCCTCCTACACTGCTGGGGGAATGTAGTTTGCAGCCACTATGGAGAACAGTATTGAGATTCCTCAAGAAACTAAGAGCTACCATATTATCCATCAGTCCCACTCTGAGGCATATATCTGGAGAAGACTATAATTTGAAAAGATGTATGCACCCCAGTGTTCATAGCAGCACTATTTACAACAGCCAAGACAGGGAAGCAACCTACTTGTTCATTGACAGATGTCTGGATAAAGAAGCTGTGGTATATTTATACAATGGAATACTACTCAGCCATAAAAAAGAATAAAATAATGCCATTTGCAGCAACATGGATGGACCTAGAGATTGTCATTCTAGGTGAAGTAAGTCAGACAGAGAAAGAAAAATACCATATGCTATCACTCATATCTGGAATCTAAAAAAAAAAAGATACAAATGAAATTATTTACAAAATAGCAACAGACTCACAGACATAGAAAACAAACTTATGGTTACCACGGGGGAAATGGGATAGGAAGGGATAAAATGGGAGTTCAGGATTTGCAGATGCTAACTACTGTATATAAGATAGATAAACAACAAGTTCATACTATATAGCACAGGGAACTATATTCAATATCTTGTAGTAACCTATAATGAAAAAGAATATGAAAAGGAATATATGTATGTATATGTATGGCTGAAACATGATGCTGTACTCCAGAAATTGACACAACACTGTAAACTGACTATACTTCAATTTATAAAAATAAATAAATAAATAAATGGTTGCCAGGAATTAGGCAAAGAACTGATTTTTTTTTTTAAACAGACTACTTCTTAGAGCAGTTTTAGGTTCACAGCAAAATTGAGCACAAAGTGGAGAGAGTTCTCATGTACCCCTACCCCTACGTATGTTCAGAATCCTGAAGAAATGAGACACAGTTGCTACAATCGATGAATGTACATTAACACATCATCACCACCCAAATTCCACAGTTTACGTCTGGGTTTATTCTTGGGGTTGTACATTCTATGGGTTCAGACAAAGCCTCAGAAGATTTTTCAGGGCAGTGAAACTATTGTGTATGATGCTGCAATGGTGGATTCGTATCATTACACACCTGTCCAAACCACCCCTGGAAGCTCATTTCAAGGTCAGTTCTTCCCCAGGCTTAAGAAAGTCAGCCGTGTGTTACAGATTTTTCCAAAAGCTTCAGTTCGCAGAAAGCCCTCCTCTTACTGTGTTCAGGAGCTGGT